GCCCCTCTTACCCCCCCCCCCCCCCCCCCCCCCCCCCTACACGTGTAATTGTTGCTAATGTGAAATGATTTGAAATCACGTTTATTTTCAATTTTTTCTTTTTTTTAGGTGTAATTGTTGTTCTGTGAAATAATTGGGAATCACGTTTATTTTCAATTTTCTCTTTTTTCTAGGTGTAACTATTGCTCTGTGAATTGATTCGGTGTAATTGTTGTTCTGTGAAATAATTGGGAATCACGTTTATTTTCAATTTTCTCTTTTTTCTAGGTGTAACGGTTGCATGCGAAATTTTTCGGAGTCGCGTTTATTTTCATTTTTTTCTTTTTTCTAGGTGTAACAGTTGCATGTGAAATGACTCGAAATCACATATGCTTTCAATTCTCTTCTTCTTTTTCTAGGTGTAATTGTTGCTTTGTGAAATTACTTGAAATCATGTTTATTTTCAATTTTCTCTTTTTCTAGGTGTAACTGTTGCATGTGAAATGATACAGAATCACGTGTATTTTCAATTTTCTCTTTTTTGTAGTTGTAACTATTTTCACGTGTATTTTTAATTTTCCTTTTTATATATGTAACTGTTGTTTTATGAGATGATTTGGAATCATGTGCATTTTCCGTTCACTTTTTTATATGTGTAATGTTGCGCTGTGAAATGATTTGAAATCACAATTATTTTCAATTTTCTCTTTTTTCTAGGAGTAACTGTTGCCTTGTGAAATGATTCAAAATCGCGTTTATTACCGATTTTCTCTTATTTCTAGGTATCACGTTTATTTTTGAATTTTTCCTTTTTCTAGGTATCACGTTTATGTTCAATTTTCTCTTTCTTCTAGGTGTAACTATTGCATGTGAAATGATTCGAAATCAAGTGTATTTTCAATTTTCTCTTCTTTTTTTATAGGAGTAACTATTGTTTTGTGAAATGATATGGAATCATATTTATTTTTAATTTTCTCTTCTTTTTTTTAGGTGTAACTGTTACAGGTGAAATAATACGAAATCACATGTATTTTCAATTTTCTTTTTTCGTAGGTGTAACTGTTACTCTGCAAAATGATGAACAACAATCACGTGTATTTCCAATTTTCTTTTTTATATGTGTAACTGTTGTTTATGAGATGATTTGGAATCACGTGCATTTTCCGTTCTCTTTTTATATGTGTAATTGTTGCGCTGTGAAATGATTCAAAATCACGTTTATTTTCAATCTTCTCTTTTTTCTAAGAGTAACTGTTGCTTTGTGAAATAATTCGGAATCACGCTAATTTTCAATTTTCTCTTTTTTTTAGGTGTAACAGTTGCATATGAAATGATCGGAATCACGTGTATATAATTTTTTTCTTTTTTCTAGGTGTAACTGTTACTTTACAAAATGATACGCAATCACGTGTATTTTCAATTTCTTTTTTATATGTGTGTAACTGTTGCTCTTTGAAATGATTTGGAATCACGTGCATTTTCAGTTTTCTTTTTTATACGTGTAACTATTGTGTTGTGAAATAATTCGGAATCACGTTTATTTTCAGTTCTCTTTTTTATATGTGTAGTTTTAGCTTTGTGAAATGATTCGAAATCATGTTTATTTTTAGTTCTTTTTTATATATGCAATTGTTGCTTTGTGAAATGATTCGAAATCACGTTTATTTTCAGTTCCTTTTTTTACATGTATAATTGTTGCTATGTGGAAAGATTCGCAATCACGTTTATTTTCAGTTTCCTTTTTTATATATTATGTAACTGTTGCTCCGTAGAATTATTTGGAATCACATTTATTTTCAGATAAAATTTACTTAGCTCACTCTTTGCACGTGAAATGATATAATAATAAAAGTAATATTATCGAATTCGAATAGGTGTGCGTTTTATTTTGAAATATTAAGAAGAAAAAATCTTCATTTAATCGTCGATTTATAAATTATTCAATTGTATTTATTTTTTGTATAAAACTACCTTCTTTAGATAATTGTACCGAAAATTGTCAAACATACTAGACCTGGATTTTAATGACATTATTTTGCTTTTAAAAAAAGAGTTTTAATGACAATGGAAAAATACTAATTCATGTTATATTAAGTACTTATATGAATGTTAATGACATTGAAAAATATATTCATGTTATATTAAGTACTTATATGAATGTTAACTTCAATTAAGCAAGCATTATAATAAATAAGCTTAAACAATGCCACATATCACGAAGACCTTTTACACAAGGAAATAATAATAATAATAATTAACCCTCAATTTCAATTAAGTTGAAATTGGTCGTATAAAAATTTTCATTTTTTTTAATTTAAGCTTAATTTATGTTCTCATTATATATATTTTCACCAACATATAACAAAATAAAAATTATTTAATAATAATAATAATAGAAGCTCTCTAATAATATGAAATAACTTTTGGAATTATTGTTCATGGTCCACATGGTGATATTAATGAGGATAAGTTTCTTAACAAGGGCAAAGTACGTTGATAGTTGATTAGATGGATGACTATATTTGATTAGTCATTTTTGTCGATAATTGGACAATCATGATTTCATTAGCAAATGTTAATTATGGACAGGGATAGGGACAGTGTGGGATGGTATTTGAACATACATAAGAGCGATATACATATGGCGGAAAATGTTTTCTAATTTTTAAATGTACATATAACGGAAAATGTTTTTCAAAATTTTTCATTTGAGATTGACTTAAATATTTTGAAAAATATACATATACTTATTTTCCTATAATTTAAGGAAAATAACTTCCCAATTAAAAGTAGAAAAACATGTTTTTTTCTAAATTCTCTTTCAAATTTACTACTCCATCATCTAATCCACCTAAAATGCCCCAGATCCTTAATCCCTCAACCTACCACCTCGTGACGCGACTCACTTCACCCCCCGACTGATTTGGTACTCGACCTAGGAATACTAGGATCCCATGATCCAAGACTCGCCTTGACTTGGGATCCGACCCGAGACCCTAACCTGGGATCTGACGCTCAATCTGAGACCCTCCACAACTTGGACTCAACTCTAGATAAGAACTGTGACCCACCCCTCACCCCCGAATCGACAATGGAACCCAACCCTAAATCGACCCGAGACCAATTCGCTGACCCGAGACTCGTCCAAGTTACGAGTTGGTTTTGAGATCGAATCTATGGTCAAGGTCAATGTAGGATCTTAGGATCGGGTCTGAGAGTCAAAGTTAGGATCAGATCTTGGGTTTAGATTTTAGGGTTGGGTTTTGAGATCAGATTTTGATTAGAACTCAAGGTTGGGGCCGGTCTCGAGGCTGGGGCGATTTTAAGGGTCAAGGTTTGTGGTCTCGATTAAGATTGGGTCTCGAGGTCAGGTCCAGTCTTTAGGTTAGGATTAAGATCGAGTCTTGGGGTTAGGGTTGGTTCGAGGCCCAATAAGGTATGACAGTCATGTTCAAGGTTAAGTCTCAGGGTTGGATCTTGGGTCAACATCAAGTCTCGTTAGTCGAGGTTGAGTCTCGAGGTTAGGATCGGCTCAAGTCAAGAGGTTGAGGGTCGGTATTTGGGTCGAATCCTAGGTCAATTTAAAGTTGGTGGTCGGGTTGGTTTGGGCATTAGTTCAAATATGGGTCAGATTTCTTAGTATTTGTATAGATTATTATACCTCAATGCTTCTTTTTACTAACCGAAAATTAGAAAATAAGTTATCACGTATTTTTTCAAAAAATATTTTCATAATATTTTCTAAAAAATATTTATTCTTCATATTGAATATATACTATATTATTAAAAAATTCCTTATATTGTCCCAAATATCAAATGTTCTTACTTGCTTTTAATGCAAATCAAGATGTTTTGCCAATTGTGCCATAAATAAAACGAACAACTTTGTTGGATTGTGTTGCTTATTAGGGAAAAAACTATGGTGTTCATTCTCTTTTATTGTATCATTATGTATGTTATTTATAGTATAAATACTTTGTATAGAGCTTTTACTTGAATGATCTATTATATGATTTAGACATAATATTCAAAATTTTAAGTTCATCCATACGAACTTGAAAGAGCAATGAAATAAAGATCAAACATATTTTCACAATAATATCATTAACACTTATTTATAGATCGAACTTAATAACAAATCATCTGTATCTAACGATTTTACTGGTACTAGTGAAAAATCTGTAATCATATATATTTAATGACACATAAATTACATTATAAGGTGTAGAATGGAATGAGGTGAAAATTAAATTATAATTCAAAATAGGCTCGACTTAATTAAACATATATAGTATATCTATGCTTTAAATCTCGACAAAAGAATAATTGTGACAAAGGAAGTCATGATCTCAACAATGAAGAAAATTCTAGGCAGTATATCGTAGTATAGTTATGGTCACAACAGAGGAAATTATGATCTCACTACCAAATAGAAAAAATTAGACAACATATTTTAACCTTAAAGACTATAATTTCAAAATTAGTTAAGGAGACCAAACACCATATTATATTGTGACCGTAGAGCTCAAAAACTATATTGACAACACTATAGAATTAGAACCAAATTAGCGTGTTAATCTTTTTTCCCAAGAATGAAAACGAGAATTCGTAAAAAAAAAGAAAACTCTTATAAAGACTTATTTTCGCTACGTCTTTTGTGAGTTTCTTAATCAAACCACTAGATATATAAGTTACAATTCATTCTTAACATGCACGAGATAAGATTTTCTAACTCTTCCTCGAGTCCTTACGATTACATTATAACCACTTGCGACTTATTATCATTTTAATAAAACCATTACTTTTTGTAAAAAAATAATTTTCGAAAAACTTCACATTATCATGTTTTTCATCATATTAATTACCCAAGTTCCAAAAATTCCAATTTGCATACCAGTTTTCTGTTGGATGAGGAAATCCCGTGATTGACTCTTGGTTGCTTGCTCTGAAAACGACGTTACGCTACCGACCCTGGCCACCCTATAACGACACCGTTTAACCCCACCCCACCCCCACCTAAGCATTAGCTGGCATCACCCCTCACACTTTGCTGCTTACTCAAAACGCATTACTCCTCCTTACAGTACTACTGCTACTACTTACCACTTCTTCTTTTTTTTCTTTTTTTTGGATAGATTATAGAAATTCACACTTGGGGTTCTAAGATTGTTCAAGATGAGAATTGGGTTGACTTCAATTTTGAATTTTAGTTGACTTATTGATAGATCGATCTGTTACAACCAAACAGGAAAAATCGAAGGTTGGTTTTCTTTCTTGTTGTTTTGTTGTTTTGGCATTTGATTTTAAAGTTGATGAGCAATTCAGACAACTGGGTTATCTTTTTGGGTTTAATTTAAGTTTAGTACATTCAACAATGGCGAACCCCAATTGTGGAATTACACTGGGTATGCTGTTGTTGTTGTAAATTCAACAATGTTGGTTAATTGGTGATCTAAAGATCTGCATTGTTATTGGGAATTGTTGTTTCTTCTGCTGGTTTTAGATTTTGTTTGCAATTAGTTAGTGTTTTAGTAAAAAGTTTTGTAAATTGAAGTGGGTTCTTCTGATTTTTGTCTTATGGAATTGGAATTTATATGTGTATTGTAGTAAAGTTTGGAACTTTGGGTTAGATAGTTAATTTATGGATAGCCCTTGTTGAAAAATGTATGACATTGTGGATATCTCTTGAAAACATTCCTTAGGGGATTGCTGAAGTTAGACTGAAGAATTAAACATTTCATGCCGTAGGAGAGTGCTTTGCGATGTTAGGAAACTGGCCTTCTATCCCGGTGAACAATGTTCCATGGAAAACTGGTTTTCGGATATATCTTTTGGTTTAATTGAGTACAGTAAATTCAACAATGTTTGCTAATTGGCGATCTAAAGATCTGCATTGTTGTTGGGCTTAGTTGTTCTTCTGGTGGTTTTACTTTTAGTTCGCAATTAAGCAATGTTTTGGTAAATTGAAGTGGGTTCTTCTTATTTTCGGTTTATTATTGCCCTAAATTGGGGAAATGAAACCCTTTGGGGGTGGCCCAGTGGTTTGAGCTTGGGACTTCCATGTTGGAGGTCTCAAGTTCGAAACCCCTTGCCAGCGAAAGCAAAGGGTTTGCCTTCTGGGTCGAGCTCGTCGCACCAGGCTTGCCTAGTGCGGGTTACCTCTCCTATGTGGTTTGCGAGCTATTGCATAGGAGCGGGGGTTTTACCTGTGCGCACTCAAAGGGTAGCGGCTGCGGGTTTCCCTTGTCATAAAAATAAAAATAAAAATAAAAATTGGGGAAATGAAAGTTACATGTCATGTGTTGCAGAGTTCAGCTTGGATAGCAGGAAAGTTTGGAACTTTGGGTTAGATAGTTAATTTTATAGATAGCCCTTCTTGAGAAATGTATGGCATTGTGGATATCTGTTGAAAAATGCCTTAAAGGATTGCTGAAGTTAGACCATAGAATTAGACATTCCATTCCCTAGGAAAGTGCTTTGTTATGCTTGGAAACTGGCCTTCTGTACGTTGAACAATATTCCATGGAAAACCGGTTTTGTTTATCTTTTTTGGTTTAATAGAGTTCAGTAAATTCAACAATATTTGCTAATTGGTGATTTAAATATCTGCATTGTTGTTTCTTCTGCTGGTTTTACTTTTAGTTTGTAATTAATCAATGTTTTGGTAAAAAGTTCTATAAATTGAAGTGGGTTCTTCTTGTTGCAGTTTATGATTGCCCTAAATTTTGGAAATGAAAGTTACATGTCATGTGTTGTGGAGTTCAGTGGATAGTAAAGTTTGGAACTTTAGACAAGATAGCTCTTGTTGAGAAATGTATGGCATTGTGGATATCTGTTTAAAACATTCTGTAAGGGATTGCTGAAGTTAGACCAAAGAATTAGACATTCCATGCCTTAGGAAAGTGCTTTGTCGTGCTAGGAGATTGACCTTCTATCCCGGTGGACAATGTTCCACGGAAAACTGATTTCGGTTATCTTTTTTGGTTATGGGAGTTGTAAATTCAACAATGTTCACTTTTATTCCCTGTGATTTTGTCTGCATCGTCTTGATGCCTTTTAATGTAATTCTCTTGCTTCATCAAAAAAAATTCAACAATGTTCGATAAAGTTCTGCATTGTTGTTGGGCTTAGTTGTTTCTTCTGCTGGCTTTACTTTTAGCTTGCAAATAATCAATATTTTGTAAAGAGTTCTGTAAATTGAAGTGGGTTCTTCTTATTTTTGGTTTATGATTGCCCTAAATTTGGGAAATGAAAGTTACATGTTCAGCTAGGATAGTAGTAAAGTTTGGAACTTTGGGCTAGATAGTAATTTATAGATAGTCCTTGTTGAGAAATGTATGGCTTGTGGAAATCTGTTGAAACATTCCCCAAGGGACTGCCGAAGATATGAGATTTAATGTACATTACTCACCTGATATGTGCTTGAAATTGGTATAATATATCAGGGAAACGTTATAGTTGTATTGACACAACATGCTGTGTTCCACTACTAATTGAAAAGATGATATTATGAAACCTTTGGTCACAATGTTGGTGAGTGGTCACTTCAAAGGATGTTTATGATTTTTCTGATCATAATTTGGTTTATATAGCACCATTTTATTGATCTGTTCTCTACTGATAACCATCTTTGAAAGTTACTCTACTGATACTGTCGTTGTGGCTGTTGATTTTGTGCATTGTATTCATACTGTTACCTGTTTTCACCTCTTGGATAAGCTAAATAATCGCAGGTTTGCCTCTGAGTTGAGAACTAAATAACTTCATCCCTCTATTTCAGTTCCATTTTACACAGCTCCTATCATAAAAAAAATTAATACTTGTAGTTATCACGTGCTATTTCTTCTGGACTGGTGGTTGAGGTTTTCTCAGTTCACAAAATAATTAAATTCGTGAAATTTTCCTGTTTCAGGTGCAAGTGGGTAAAGCCAAAGCTAGTATAGCATGGGTGTCTCAGGCAAATGGATTAGAGCACTGGTCGGCTTAAAGAAGTCAGAAAAGTCTCATTCTTCAGAAAAAGAGGAAAATGTGGGTAACATTTTCTTTTTGTTGTTATTTCTTTCCTGGGTATGTCTTTGATGGCTGAATCTGTTGGATTTCGTTGAGTATCTTAATCAATGCTTCTACATCTTCAGCAAACTACTTGTATATTCTTTGGTGTCATCTCTACATCATAAAGAGACAGGCTTATTCTCGAGTAATATCACTTTCTCAAAAGAAGTTAGCTTTCGTCTTTGCACTTCAGTCCTCTGGAATCTGAAGTGACTGATGTTGAATATGTTCTCAATTGGTTATCTCATCTCTTTGCCAATTGACATGTATCAAACACAATTTTTTTGCTTTGTAGATGCTTACATTATGATTGGATCTATTGATTAATTTTGAAAGGTTTTTCAGTCTGTTTGTTCATGAAACAATATGTAACTTATTTCGGGATCATCCATGCCTGTTTATTTCAAGGCAATGCAATCCTTAATCGGAACTTGTTTTATACTGTAACAGAAATCTGGAGGGACTGGGAAGTTTTGGCACCGGAGAAAACACTCTGTTGAGATCGATTCCAACCTACTTCAAAAGGAGCTAACTTATAATGATGCTGGTGCTGGATCAGTTGAAGATATAAGCAGCACATCAGTTCCAGTTGCTTCCAGCTCCCCTTCAAGTTCACATCAATTGCATCATGCCCCTCTAGTTAAGCAAAATATGAGAGAGGAGTTGGCAGCTATACGCATCCAAACAGCTTTCAGAGGATTTCTGGTACTGAATTAGCTGTCAGCTTGTAAATTTAGCTAACTGAAATATATGCCATGCCCGCTTAGTTGTGCTTTTAGTCCTGGTACACTTCTTTTCGTAGAATGTCAATGGGTCGAGCACTTACCACGGCTTAATTGAACTACTTGAGGTCTATCTGGAACTCTCTAGAACGTTTCAAGATGATATTTAGGGTTTATAATCAGATGCCTTTTGCCATAGTTATGTTGGAAAGCAAAACAAAATTCATTATTGATGAAGTAGAGAAAGTACAAAAGACGGTCTTCTGTTAAAGTTATCCTTGTGAGTTTTCGTGGCGTAATTTCTAGCGCATATCCTGAGTCTATAAGAAAGAGATTTCTCAGTACTACAGAAAATACATTTTGCTAAAGTCACTCAAATTACAGTAAACTCCTTGAGCCGAGGGTCTATCGGAAACAATCTCTCTACTTCATACAAGGTACGGGTAAGGTCTGCGTACACCTCACCTTTCCTGACCCCACTTGTGGCCTGTGGAATCACATTGGGCATGTTGTTGTTGTTGTTAACTCAAGTCTAAATTTAACCATCATGTCTTGGTACTCCCTAGTTTCAATAGTTTGCTTATATATAATGACAGGATCGGAATAAAACATAATTCTTTCAGCTAATTATTTTAGGTGTTATATGCACATTTTTCAAACATGGATATGATGTCAATGTTTATATGCAATAAAACATAATTCTTTCAGCTATTATTGACCATCTTAGAAACAGATTTCTTCTACCACTAACCACTACATAGGATAGGATAGGGCAACCTAAATAGACATGAGATAGGAACTTTCAAGAATTTGAGTAATTGACATCCTTAATGACTGTAACACAATCTTTTGGGTAAGAGCTTACTTACTTTTGATCTCTTTCTGCCAATGGGAAATGTCGTCATGTGTGGAAAGTTGTATGACTATTCCTCTATTACAGAAATTTTGTGGGACCAAAACTTGTCAAAAAAGAAGTTATTTCTGTGATCAAATTGCTAAATACAAGTCCACCCCTTGCCCAATCAAACAAATGGAAATCAATAATCTACATGGTCTACTGGATAGACAACAGATGGTTTTTATCAAGGGGAGACAGATTATGGATGTTGTATTGATAGCAAATGAATGTATAGAGTCAAGACAGAGAAGTTGCAAACCTTGGATTGTTTGCAAACGAGATATCCAAAAAGTATATGACCACCTAACTAGAATTTCCTCATCTAGATGCTTGGTAGAATGGGATTTGGAAGCAAGTGGAATAGTTGGATTAAATACTGCATTAGTTCTGTAAAATTCTCTATCCTAATCAAGGAGATCCCCTATCCCCATTTCTATTCATTATTACTATGGAAGGTATGAGAAATTTAATGAAGTAGGTGACTTAAGTAACATGGAGATCACACATCTTTAGTATACAAGGAGATCAACATGGATCACACATCTTAGGGTTGCGTATTGGTTTGGTTTGGTTTTGAAGTTTATCGGTTCTATTTATTGATTATCAGTTTGTAAACATACTAAACCATTATAGAATCGTTAAGATAGTGGTTTATCGGTTTGGTTATCGATTTAACTGTTAGGATTTCACACGAAATTTTTTTCTTCAATTAAAATCACTTAGAAACAAAGTGATAAACCAAATAAACCATGCACATGAGTTAGTTGATTGCATCTTGCTCAAAAACAAACATTACCTTATAGAATAACTAATAGTTCGAAACAATGAGAAATAAAAGTATGAACTAAACCCTAAGTAGATGACTTTATCCATCAAAGGGTATTATTTATTGTAATTTATAAATTTTCTATCGGCTTTTCGGTTAACCCATTAATAGGACAACTAAGTAGATGACTTTATATATCAAGGGGTATTATTATAATTTATAAATTTACTATCGGCTTATCGGTTAACTCATTAATAGGACAATTAAACTAATAACCCATTACCAATAAGCCAATTGCATTTCTTTGGTTTGGGTATTAGTTTTTGTTTGATTTTGAATAACCCTATTTAAAATGGTACTATTAATGTACTTTAATTACTTAAGGATTTACTTGGAAATTACTGTTGGTGTAGAAAAAGGATACACTAACAATGCACCGAACTTAAACTCTAATTTGAAATCAATTCAAAATATTATATATTAGGGAATTTTATTAAATTACAAGTTTGTCTAATTGTGAAATCTGTTTTTGAAAGGTACAAAAAGCGAACAACATTGACGGTAGCCTCAAATATTTGAAAGAAGTTATTGGCTATGAAAGAAAACATGAATGCTTGTCATATATAATTCCATATTGAAATTAAGTTTGACCCAAAACAAAAAATTTGATACTATGCTGATGTCAAGATATTTTGACAAACGTGAATCCTCTTTTAACCTAAAGTTGTAACCATCACAATCTTTTGTTTCTAAAAGAAATTGAATTTGAGGGTCAATACGATAGGAAAAAGACTTAACGAAAAAACAATTCTTCCAAAACCATATAAAAGAATTTAAAACAAAAGTAATGACGAACTAAACCAAGAAAAAATTACCAAATGCTATAGAATGACATAAATATAGCTTAAAGAACTCACATGTTGAGACCCTTAGGGGTGGCCCAGTGGTTTGGGCTTGGGACTTCCATGTTGGAGGTCTCAAGTTCGAAACCCCTTGCCAGCGAAAGCAAGGGGTTTGCCTTCTGGGTCGAGCTTGTCGCACCGGGCTTGCCTAGTGTGGGTTACCTCTCCTATGTGGTTTGCGAGCTATTGCATAGGAGCGGGGGTTTTACCCTATGCGCACCCAAAGGGTAGCGGCTGCGGGTTTCCCTTGTCATAAAAAAAAAGAACTCACATGTTAAGGAGCAATTGATATCCACGGAGAATAAAAAATTGGGATATTAATGGACGTTTTAATCCCTCTTTAATAGGGATACTAAATACTACTAAAAAAATTCCTACTTATTCTGTTGTTCTTATTTCCTTTTGTACCTATGCCAATTTGACTTCTTCTTTAATAGGGATATTGAATAGTACTCCCTCTGTCCCAATTTATATGAGTTAGTTTGACTTGACACATAGTTTAAGAAAGAAAGAAAGACTTTTGAAACTTGTGGTCTAAAATAAGTCATAAATGTTTGTGTGGCTATAAATCATTTCATTAGGGTAAAATGGACATTGTAAAGTTAATTTTTTACTAAATGTAGAAATATATCTTCTTTTTGGGGCTGACTAAAAAGGAAAGTGAGTCATATAGATTGGGACAGATGGAGTAATAAGTTTCCTACTTGTTCTCGCATTAATTCTTTCTTTTTTTTTAACCTATGACAGCTTTGTTCCTATTAACCTACTTGTTCTTCTCTTTCCTTTTTGTCCTGCCCACTTCTGTGTTTACTAAAAAAACTTTATTTGTATTTACTATTTTATCCAACTTAGAATACACTTACGAAGGGTAAAAAAGGCGAACAACATTTCTCTAAGGACCTTGTGTTTTGATATAATGTTGATGTTGATATAGATTACACCTATCTTTAGTTTATGACCCACAAAATTCACAGGTCTTCTTTATTTTCTTAAATATTGTGCCGAGTCTAAATTGAAATGGAGGGAGTAGAATTTACTTTTGAAGGAAATATGGGGAAAAATGGTTACAATATCAGCAGATGAGTTATAGAGAATGGGTGTATGGTTGCAACATTTTGGCAGGAAAACCTGCATAACTCCAGTTTCCAATTTGGTAGCTGACTCATAGATTAAGCTTTTGGATATGAACAAACCTTCTGACCCCAATATTGGAATAATATGTTAACCACTGTGTTTTTAGTTTCTTATGAATCTTATCAGTTGATGAGTAGAAACATACTAAGAGAATTGAAGAGATAATTGTTAACTAGAAAAAGCAACAGCAGTTAAATCTTATTTGTTGATATCTTGGCACTGGTCAGGCAAGGCGAGCTTTTCGGGCTTTAAAAGGATTGGTGAGACTACAAGCCCTTGTCAGGGGTCATGCAGTGAGAAAGCAAGCTGCAATTACCCTCCGTTGCATGCAAGCTTTGGTGAGAGTTCAGGCACGTGTCCGAGCAAGACGTGTTCGCATGTCACTGGAAAGTCAAACTGAACAGCAGAAACTTGAACAGCAATTAGAACATGATGCTCGCGTACGAGAAATCGAAGTAAGTAACTTCTAAATTGTTATTACTTTAAATACCCTTTTGACATTTCCATAGTGGCCATTACTTGTGTCAATGGCATTTATCACTAGGTTGTAATAATACTAAATGGTTAATCTTACCTTTTTCCAATGCGAAGTCTCTTAATAGTGGCATCAGCTGTCAATTTGCTTTGGGTTTCTGAATTATTTGCCACAGATTTTGCTTATGGTGGATATCGTTCAACAATATATGATATAGCACTGAATCATGTGAAACTTTCCTTTTAGGTTCTACATGGATGTCCCAGAAGGACTGATCGGCACCTCATCATTTTAATGTTGTGGCCAAGAAATTAGGTTATATTGTGGTTCTTGGTTGTTCTTGTCATCAGTCTCATAATTTATGTTTGATTTTTCCACTTTAAAGGGTGATTCAAGTTGCAGTCATAGTAATTCTCGTTTTCTCTTTCTGACATGAGCTTTCGTACCAAAATGTGAAAAAAAGTTTCAAGTGTAAAACTATGCATTGCCTGGTGGAACTTATGTGGTAGGCCCACACTGTTTACATTAACATGCTTCTCACCTTTTTGCTGCGGAATTTTCTAACAGGAGGGCTGGTGTGACAGTATTGGATCTGTTGAGCAAATTCAAGAAAAGTTGCTAAAGAGACAAGAGGCAGCTGCTAAGCGTGAAAGAGCAATGGCCTATGCTTTAGCTCACCAGGTAAGCATCTCATCACCTTCTCGATGATGTTTGTTCTGTTTCCATTACTGTATCAGTTTTTAACTGATATCTTGAAGGCAATACTTCAGATTAGATAGATATAATTGAGAATCTGTAAGAGAAGCAGCTGCCTATGTAATCTTTATATCGATATTTTGAAATATGATCTGTGTAGTTTGATATATGATTTTGAATCCTGATTCATTAAAAAATCTGTGATGTTGATTCTTGATTGAACATTAGAGGAGCAGGAGGTCATTTCTGACTTGAAGATGTTGCCACAGACACAAGGTTCCTTTCCCAGTTTGCAAGTGAGAAACAAGCTATGAAAGTCCTCTGTGTAGGAAGGAGACGGTTGGGTGGTGCTTTTTAAAGCTGGAAAGATGGAATGAACAGTTAGGACTTAGGGTGTTTTGAAGCTAGAACTTTAGAAGGCGTCATTGCTGTTGTTCTAGTCAGTGTTCTGGTGCACATGTGGTGTTTAAATATTTTCAGAACGATACTAAGACATGTGGAAGGTTCATAAATGTGTTATTTATCCTGCATGCCATGTCGTGGATGAGGGTGTTCGTGGGGGGGGGGGGGGGGGGTTT